TTCTCTCTCTTCATCTCCCTCTGCAGAGAGACATAAATGTATATAAAGAGATTTCATATGTATATGTCCTGCCACCTAATACTTGGGGACAGGGATTGTATTGCATATTCCTTTAAAATCTCAGAATATTGTAGATAACATTCTGCATTTACAGATTTAAAAAACCAAACCAAACCAAAACAAAAAACACCCTGAGGCCCAGAGGAGCTGAGTGATTTGCACAGGGTCACACCACAAGTTAATAAAAATGCACTAAGACTGGAATTGCTGTCCTGGGAATTCAACTTGCATAGGGCTAAGCGGTTGGGAGCTAGTATTAGCTCACTCTATCAGATGAATAAATTCATGCAAGAGCAAGAATGAACGTATGCGTGAAGAGTAAGTAACTTACAGATTAGATGGTTTAAGACCATCACAGTCAGATCCGGCAACAAAAGACGTCGATTGAGCTTCTAAGTGGATAAGTTTAACTGCGTGGTTCCCTCTATCCCAAGTCAATTGCCAGAAGGATCCTACTGACCTTTTTGCCATTAACCTCTCCCCTCTTGACCCTTTTCCTCTTGTTGAGGGAATTCTAGGGTGGTATTTACTACCTCTTCAAAAGGAATCAAAGGAAAACAAAACACACAATAATCTCAAAAGGACCAGGTTTTTTATCCCTGCCTCCCCCCAACACACACGCACACAGAGCACTACTGGGAGCACGGTATTCTATGACTCAGGTTGCTTTTTTCCCAGGGGCTTTACAGGAGCAAGCATGAGGAGGAGTGAGTGAAAAATGCAGGAGGAGATAAAGCTTGGGGGGAGGTGAGAAGTTTCTTCCATAGTTATGTGGAAGGGGAGGTGGGAGACTCGAGCTGGGAGAGGGAATCTTCCAGCTGTGTGCAGGGCCATAACCTTGCTACTCACATCTGCCTCGTTCCAGAGCCCTGGGATGCAGAAGGACTCCAGCAGGTCACTACCGCACAGCAGCAAGATCCGCAGCTCTGAGGAGGAGGAGGAGCAAAGTTTGCAAAGGGTAAGTGCAGACCTGGGAAGCAATCGACCCTCAGCCTTCTTCCCCTGTGAACGCAGAAGTCCTGCACCCTGGGGGCTGCGGGGCTCAGTTCTCCTAAGCACCCCTGCACCAGGGTGTGTGCAGTGCAGAAAGCTCTGCTGCCCTCTCCCTTGGGTTCATGTCCAGACCACCCTCGTCCCCTGTGGGAGGAACTACTCACGGCAGGGAGAGCAGAGCACAGACGGTGACTGGCCCTCCCGGGTCACCCAGGACACGGATCTTTCAGAGCTGAACCAGGGTGGTCGGTCACCCTAACAGACTGAGCCAGCACCTTGTCTAAGTTCTAAGGGCCTCTATCTTGCTCCCTATCAGGCTCAAGGGTCAAAGGAGTTGGGATTCTTTGCTACTGTGCATTGTCTGGAGTTTGTCTCCCGTCACAAGTGCCAACATGGTGGGGGCAGTGGGGGGACAGAGTGTACCCATGAAGTAGCTGAGTTTATCAGATGTGTCCTCCCTTTGCCTGGCGCTGTCCCCAGCAGGGGGCTTGAGAAGCGAGGCTGAGGCCGCACCCCACCCCTTCTCTTCCTGGCACCCAGGCACGTTCCTGCTTGTCAGTAGTTTTTCCTCCCTTATTAAGCCCACTCTGAATTATCCCAGTGAGCCCCATTGTTGCTTAAAACAGGCGGCAAACTGGCTCACTTATTAAACCTAGCAACAGGGAGAAAAGAACCCTGGGGTTCTTAGAACACCACGGGGACAGTCCTCCACCCAGGATGTGATTCAGGGTGTCTGTGGTGGGCTCCCAGGCACACCAGGTCCTTCTGTCTGAGGCTGAGGCTATGGGGGCATCTTGTCTGACGCACTGAGACAGCCCTGTGCTGAGCTCACCACCATCTTCCCGAGACAGCTGCCACCCCAGACCTGGAGGCCAGAAAATGTGAGACGAGCCTGCCCACAGCTCTGCCTGCCTTAGACCTCAGAGCTAGCTCAGGGCCTGATGAGGACTCTCAGGTGGCAGGCGTGCCCCTGCCGTGGAAGGAGTCTCCAGGTGGTCTGGGTGGGCGAAGGCTGATGATGGATAGTGCCAGTATCTTGTCATCCAGGGTCCTCAGGGCACCCCATGGAGGGCTAGGGTCTTCACTACTAAATATTCCTGCACCCTCACTTTTCTCCATCCGTTTATGTGCGGGGAACTTATCTTTACAGCCCCAGGGTCTGGCAGAGTGACTGGCGCACGGTAGGTGCTCAAACACGTCAACTGTATGAGCGAACAGACAAGCTGACGACAGAGGCAGTGGGCTGCCGGGGAGACTCCTGGGCAACCTGGGATGGTTGTGGAGGCTATGGTGGCCTCTGCTCTCACATCATGGGGACGCTGGGGGAAATGCCTCCTGAGTCAGTGCCCCCTTCCCCATCGTATGCCATGGGATTGCTGGCCCAGCTCCCCACCTGTGGAGGTGAACCAGGCCTGGTATGGCTGGGAGTTGCCAGATTGGGCTCATTCCTGGGATTTTGTTGGTCCCTGAGCCCCGCTTAGAGCCACCCAGAGTTCCAGGTCGGTTCTCTGTTGAAAGAGTGAGGCTCTGTACCTCTGGCTGCCTAAAAGTTCAGTTAGGCAGCTGTGACCAGAGGATGTACTGGCCCTCAGCATTCTCTGCATCAGTGGTTCTCAACTGGGGCAGTTTTGCAATTGCCAGGGGACATCTGGCAATGTCTGGAGACAGTTTTGGTTGTCACAACTGGGAAAGGGGGATGTGCTATTGACGTCTAGTGGGTAGAGGCCAGGGCTGCTGCTAAACATCCTACAATGCACAGGACAGCCCCCACAACACAGAATGATCCGGTCCCAAATGTCAGCAGTGCCGAGGTTGAGAAACCCTGCTTACAGCCATGAAAATGAGGCTCTTTGCTATTCCCAAGCCAGGGACTCACTTTTCCACCTGAAAATAACGTGGAATATATATATAAATATTTTTTTTTTAAGTCAAAGCACAGAAAGTTAAAGATGGGGGCGGGGGCAGTCTCTGCCGTTTCTTGCAGGACCAGAACAGGTGTATTAGTCACCACAGCAGCCCCAGCAGGGCTTGAGATTCCTCAGGCGGCCGCTGGAGGGCAGCAGTGATTTCTCCCAGTTTAGTGTGTGAGACGAAGGCATGTTTTCAGCCCACTAGCTCTTGGCCTGGGGCAGCCCTGAGGAGCAGTCAGCTGTGAGAAACACGGAAATGGGGTCACAGATGCTAATGGGGCTAGGAGAAAACGGCTGTTCCTTCTCGTGAAGTGTGCAAGGGGACTTCAAATAGGGGGATGTTTGAGCCCCAGGGCCTCGCAGAGCACAAGGCTCAGGAGGCAGTGTAGCTCCCTTCCACCTCCTTTGGGCTCTATCTCCTTCCCAAGGTCACCCTGACCCAGGACCGGGAGCCAGAATCAGTGCTCTACCTCCACACTCCCTTCCCAGGAATCCCAGATATGTGAAGCCCAGGCAGGGTGGCCCACCCCAGCTCCCACTGCACACCAAGGCAGCCTGCCACCTGGGCCACGCCACACCATGAATCTGTCTGACAGCTGTGGCCACCCAGCTCTCCTTCCTCTGAGCCTTAGTGATCGCCATTCCCTACGCTGCACTGTGCCTTCTTATCAGACACTGGCGGACCCCTTCCCTCTCAGGGAACAGTGAGGACAGGGAGGTAGACAGCCAGAGCCTCAGGGAAGCCAGAGGTGAGAGGACACTCCCCAGTTCAATTTAGGATCACGTGAAGCTAGAGGAGTAAGCCAGATGGGGCTGACTACCCTGCCCCTCACGAGGCTATAGAGAGATAACATTAGTGGAAGCGCAAACACGGACAGCAGTGGCCTCGGTGGGAGGGGGAGCTCCCTGAGTCAGGGTGGGAGATGGCCTAATACAGAAGCCCACGTGCTGGAAAGGCAAACAAGATCATAGCGGATGCTTGGCCACAGTAAACCCTCTGGAACAAGGAAAGAGGGAAACATACACTGGAATACAGTTAAAAGTCCCAAGACTGCTCTGAGCTCTGCTGCTTGGGAGGCTGCCCGGGAGGCTGCCCAGGAAGGTAGCAGTTCCTGGCCAGGTGCAGAACTGCAGGGAAGTGGGCTTTCCTCCAGGCACTGGCACCTTCACTCCCATCCTTGCCTTTTGGGTTTGGGGCTGCTTTGGGGAGCAACCAGAAAACCAGGTGCTCCTCCCTGTGACCTTCAGACATGGATGTGCTGGTAAATAAAGGATATTAAAATACAATAAGATAATTAGGAAGCAAGGAGTTTTGAGTATTCATTACCTTTGTTTTTAATACATATATTTAACTGTAAGTTAATATAACGTAATTTTTAGTACTGGCTTTGTTTAACAACTGGTATGCAAAATTCCTGAAAACTTTACAGATGATTCTTGCAAACCAGTATGAGCTGAGTTAGGCACAACACTGCACATCAGATCAGAGGATGGGACGCAGAGAAGCCCCTTGAAATGATGGCATGTCTGGGGAGAGCAGGTGCTCAGGTACAGTCCCACGCCTCGAGGATCATGCAGGAGCCCTGACCTCCAGCCCACAGACAGGGGAGTACCCGGAGGGGGTGCTTGGAGTCTTTTCAGCAGGAATTTAAGACTGAGTGTGTCTGCTGGACACCAGGCTGCCTCTCATCATAGAGGTCCAGGCATTCCTGTTGTCACCTGCCCTCCTTGTCACCTGGTACCTGTGCCAACTCCAGCTTCACTTTGGTGTCTGTCTACCCTTTCCCCAGCTTCGGATACTTGGGTCTCTCTCTTGTGTCTCTCGTCCACTCTGGAACCTTGGGAAGATGTCACTTTTCTGGTTTGCTTCTCCTCCCCACCCTGACAGCTCTGTGTAACCGCGCTCACCCACTCTGGCCCACTCTGGCATTGGGCTGGAGCTTGGGTTGGCCTCACACAGAAGTGGGGTGCCTTAACCACAGCTCAAGGCTGCAGGGGAGGCCGTGGAGGTGGCTTTCAGTTCCCCTATCCTTCTCGACCTTCAAGCACTGAACACCTCTGCTAAGGAAGGCAGGTGAGCTCTTCTGCCTCGCTTATGTGCAGTGTCTGTGGGTAAAAGGAGTCTCTCCAGCTAGCACGCGGCTCAACTTTCATGTTTTTAGATGAGGGAAGAGAAGCTCTGAAGGGAAAATTGCTGATTGATCCAGTCCTTTCTCCTGGGAACTGGCCTGAGTCCAGTCAGGAGATGTTGAAGGGGAGCTAAGAATACGATCTTTGCTTGGGAACAATCATCCTTCTGAGTGGATGCTGCTGCAAACACAACCTAGGGTGCTCAAGCCTCTGCCCTCCAGACATGGCCTGAGGTGGCAGCAGGCGACTCCACTTATCCCCACCCTCGCAGCCCCACTCACCGATCTCCTCGTACCGCATCACTGTGCCCAGGTTGGCGTTCTCATCTAAGGAGGACAAAGGGGACACAGAACATTAGGGAAGTGGCTTCCTGCTACCCAACATGTGGTCTGGCCTTGGTAGGAGCAATCGGGGTGGCTGAGGAGGGTGAGAGTAGGAGGGGCCTCCCTGCACGGGGACATCTAAGGAGAGCGAATGGACGGCACAGTCCAGCATAAAATTGAGAGGAGGCATCTCCTCCAGCTGCAGGGGCAGGGCTTCACATTCCTGGGACTTCAGAGTTAGACAGCCTCACTGGGAACCAATGGCGAACACACCTCTCTCATGCTGAGTGCCTTCTCTTTCCTTCTGAATCTTAGAGAGGCTGCCCACAAATGCAAGGTCCTCAAAACCTAGGGAGATGGCTTTTGAGGCACAGTCCAGCATAAAATTGAGAGGAGGCATCTCCTCCAGCTGCAGGGGCAGGGCTTCACGTTCCTGGGACTTCAGAGTTAGACAGCCTCACTGGGAACCAATGGCGAACACACCTCTCTCATGCTGAGCGCCTTCTCTTTCCTTCTGAATCTTAGAGAGGCTGCCCACAAATGCAAGGTCCTCAAAACCTAGGGAGATGGCTTTTGAAGTCACAGGAAGTAGCCCTCTCTTCTTAGGGGTTACTTGGCTTAAAGAACAAGCGCAACTGGGGATGGTGAGACTTTTCACATGGCGGAATGCAGTGAGAGCCTGCAGGAAGAGGTGAAGGGCACAGCCTTTGATGTGCCCTCTGGTGTGTGCAATGCCCGCATGGGGTGCCTGCTGTGCACAAGTGCACACACACACAAAACCACAGAAGTGCTATCTCTGTCCTCTGCCTCTCTTCCTCCTCAACCATCCCTCTTCGTTCCTTTTCACGATGCTTGAAATTGGAAATCTCAGAAATGACAGAAGTATATGAGAAAGAGCCCCAGTGACCTGATATTCTCATGCATGCTGAGTCCTTGGGGAGCAGCCAAAAAACAGGGAATTAGGAAAGAGCATTGCCTCTCCGCAGGAGTACAGGCACTGCCAGAGCTGGGATGACCTGAGGGAGGATTCTGGGCCCCTCTGAAAGCCTTCAGGTGTGTGGATCCGTTCTATGGGGGTGGGGGTGAGAAATGAGCACGGCCTCGAGGAGAGGGGATGACCACAGGAGGCCTCCCAAGCAGCTCCAGGCCAGGCTGACCACAACGTCTGGACTCCCATCACAGCTTGGCACTGTAGGCCTGGGGACATTCCGGTTCACCTCTGGACTCTTTCAATTACTGATCTACAAATGGTCATCACAATAGGTTGTCTTAGTCTGTTCAGTACGCTCTAACAAAATACCATAGAATGGGTGGCTTATAACAACAAATTTATTTCTCACCATCTGGAGGCTGGAAGTCCAAGATCAAGGCACTGTCAGATTTTGTGTCTGGTGAGGACCTGTTTCCTGGTTCACAGGTGGTACCTTCTTATTGTGTCCTCACATAGTAGAAGGGACTTGCTAGCTCTCTGGGGTCCCTTTTATAAGGGCACTAATCCCACTCATGAGGGCTCCACCCTCATGATCAAATCACTTCTCAAAGGCTTCAGTTCCTAATACTATCACCTTGGGGGTTAGGGTTTCAACATATGAATTTTGGGGGGACACAAACATTCAGACCATAGCACAGGTGCTTGGGGGTATTTGCGGAATGGATGAAGGGAGGAGGGAAAGACAAGAGACAGGACTGGGCAAGAAGGTGCTTGCTGCCTTACCGACGAAGGTGAAGCGCTCCACCGGCGGGCGGACGCAGCAGATCCGGCTGAGGCTCTCTCCCACCTTTCCCAAGATCTTGGCTGCGGGAGAGAGCAAGACAGGAACAGAGGGCGAGAACCATGTGCAACTTACTTACACTCGGGTCGGCCCGGCATGGGGGCCGCTGTGAACAACAGGGGTGCACTGGAGGGGGTGCGGGTAGGAGAGTGGAAGGCAGAAGCAGGGTAGAGAGAAAAGAACAGAAATACAACAGCAAAAATCCCTTCTGTTCATTCGCAGTCCAAGGCACAAGCATCATGAGCTATAGACTGGAACCTATTTTCTGTCATTTATTACATTGCTGAAAAATTGGAAAACATGTAAAAAGGAAAATAGAAAGCACCCATAAGCCCACCCTAGAGAAAACCATGGCTAACATATTGGTACATTATTTATTTTCTTCCATTCTTAAAGTGTTTATTACGCAGGTATGTCCACACAACACAAGCTGGATCAGAGCCTACATTTAAAGGGTAACTATGCTGTTGACTTTTTTTGTGTTTTCTATCATGAGCATTTCCTCACTGGGTTTGTCCTAAGTCTATCCTTAGCCACCGTCCCCACCGGACAGTAACACCCTCATCCAAGGAGACTCAGCCTGTGGCAAAGTGTACACTTGGAATCATTTCTGCTGGGCTAAGGCGTTCCTTCCCAGGCAGATGGTCTTTAGAATCATCAGATATGCTATTTGGCTAAGAGGGATCTGGTTTTCAATTATCTCTCTGGGCTCCAATCCAGAAAATTTTTTCCGAACCCCCATATGTAGCTGTATAGAAACTATAAAATTCTGGCTCTTCTTTGTGAATTACCCTCTTTATATTAGACCAATAATATAACAGCTTAAGGTCTCTAGGCTTGAAAAGTAGTACCAGAATCTCTCTCTTGGAATTGGTCTAGGAGAAAACATTAAAGCGTGGACCTTGGAGCCTACCAGTCCTAAATATGAATTCTAGCTCTTCTCCTTTTGAGGTTTGTGACCTTAGGCAAATCGCTTACATTCGCTGAATCTATTTGTTTTCTATTTGTAAATGAGAACATGATGCGTATATCACAGAATTACTGATTTAAGTGAGAACGCATGAAAAGCCCTGAGTACCATCGGGACATGCAGAACGAGACGTCGGGTAAGTGTTGGTGGCCCCTGTTCTCTGTCACTGAAGACGTGGCTAAGAGTGTGGGGTTCTGGATGCAGACTGCCTGGGTGACTCATGGCCCTGCTACTTCCTCCCTGTGTGACCTTGGGCAAGATCCTCAACCTCCCTGGAAAAGGCAGCGAAAAATGCTCCTTTTTGTATATTTAATTCTCAGGTAAGGCAATTATATTCAAATGCAGAAGAAGAATGTACACCAACACCCTGTTTCTCTCTCTCTCCCTCACTGTGATTGTGACTATTTTGCTCTCATACTCTACATTAAGGGTTCTCAAAGTATGGTCCCTGGACAAGGAGCATCACTTTATTAAAAATGCAAATCCTCCTCCCCCTCTCAGACCTACTAAATCAAATTCTGAGGTGGGGCCCAGCAATCAGCATTTTAACAAGCTTTCCAGATGATTCTGAAGTTTGAGAACCACTGTGCCAATGTTCCCCTACCTGCAGTGGGCTTGGTGGGCACGTTGTTATTCTGGTAAATGGGCTGGGAAGTCTCATGTTGTGGCTGTCCGATCACAGGCGTCATGGAAGGTGTGTTGACATTGGAGAGGATGCAGCCAGTCACTCTCTAGGGAGAGGCAGAAGTGCTGAGTCAGTGTCATTAGCCGAGTGACTTTGAAAAGCATTTCCCAGTTATCTCCAAAGGGTCGTCTACTTGACCATCACAGTGAGGCCACCTATAGCTGAGGGAGAGCCCTGGGGTGGGCTCTAGACCCAGCTGCCCCATGCAGTCACTAGGGTGGCAGGAGACAGGATAGCTCAGTGGGAAAGCATGGGATGTGGTGTTACACAGACCTGGGTCCAATTCAGGCTCTGCCTTCTTCTAGCTATGTCACCCTGGACAGTTAGTTAACCTCTCCGGAACCTCAACTCCAGGTTCTAACAATATGCCTGCCTTTTTAGATTGTGGTAGGTTTACACAAGCAAGCGTATGCAAAGTGCCAACAGAGGGCCTGACACATGGTAGGAACTTCAGAAACAGCAGCAGATGTAGTAACCTTCTGCAAAACATGAATATCTGCCCTCCCTGCCTACTTCTTGGGGCTCAAATGAGATCATGTCTGCAAAAGGGCTCTGTGAGCTTTGGAAAGGTCCCCCCCACACAAGCACAATCACCACCTGCAGCCTCTTTGGACCAGAGAAGTCAACAACACGGCGGAGCTAGAGAGCTGTGCCAGGCAGAGCAGGGTGTGTTTGTGTTGCAGGAGGAGGGGCGGGTGGCTTCTGAGCCCTCTCTCCCCTGCTTGACAGTGGGAATACACATTCCAGAGCCAAACGGAAATTCTATGTGTATAAACCATTGTCCTGTGTTATCTGGCCGGCTGCTTCTACCCAGTGCACAGAAAAGAGAGCTGATAATGCAGCATTCTTCACAGCTGACCCAGAAGCAACCCCCACTTGCCGGAGGTGAGCGGGAGAGTAGCTATTGGGCAACAGAGAAACAAAGGATGAATTTTCAATCTGTTCAGCTTCACAAGCCACTGCTTATCCCAGGTCCCTTCCCTGAAGCCAGCATCCTGGGAGTGATGGTGCCTACCACCCACTCTTGCCCACCACCCTTTCTGGCTTAGAAAAGGTCTGCCAGAGGACCCCTGAGTCCCAGCACTGAGGTGACCCTCTGAAGGCACCTCTTCCACAGGCCACTTTGCAAGCAGAACAGCATGTGAGTCCTTCTGAGCCCTAGAAGGGCAGGCATTTGTCTGGCAGGGTGACCTGTCACTTTTGTAATATTCCCGATAGGAGGAGGTCACAGCAGCACCCAGCCACATCTGGGAGCCAGCCGGGGCCGGGAACCCTGGGATCCTCTCAGCCCGCTGTGGGCTTCTCTGCCGGGCTGTGGCTGGTGGGGTGGGAGAGTAGCCTGCCTCCTGTTATTATCATTGCACTGCCAGAAGAGAAGATGCCACACTCCGATTTAATAACTGATCCAGTAGCTGAGGAACGTCTTCCCCTTGCTGCATCGTCAGTCCTATTCGACTGGTCCTATCCCAGAGAAGAACACGCCAGCTGCATGCCTGGCTCCAGCCCTCACCAGGCCTCACGGGCTCTCCTGCTCCCAGAGACCTTTCCCAATGTCATCCTGAGCCACCTGTTAAGTCACGTGTCTACCTCTCTGGCAGGTCTACTCTCTGTGCCAGGAACACCGGCCTCACACCAGGATGGGGAAGGCTGGGAGTTATTAGGAAGCAGCTCCGAGCTCTTGCTGTAAGGCAGGGGGCCCTCCCAATCCACATTCTCTGCCAGCCTCTGCCCATGGTGGCAACAGCTGGGGCTCCTGGCCAAGCTTCTCTGGCCCAGACTCATGCGTTGAGCATGAGTAAGAGGGAGAGTTCAGGAAGCCCAGGCATTTAAGTGACAATACAATAGCCAGGCTTCATGGCCAGTGTAGCCAGCGCTCAGGAATGCCTAAGGGGTCTCTTTCATCATGGAGCCTGAAAGGTTGTGTGTGTGGGGCTGGCCAGTTGGCTCGGTTGAAGCATGGTGTTGATAATACCAAGGTCAAGGTTTCGGGTCCCCTTACTGCCCAGCCACCAACAATAAATAAATAAATAAAAGGTTCTGTGTAACTAGAAGGAGCACAGCCCCCTCTGCCCCGAAAATCCCCAGCTGACACGTAGGATGAGAAATAAACTCATGTGAAGCCCCTGACATTTTAGGGATGTTTGTTACAACAGCACATCTTAGCTTATCCTGACTGATACACCCTTGTACAGTAAGATGGGGTCTTTTACTACTGCTGTTGTTGAGACTAGCACAGAGGACCTGGTCAGTGTGACCCCCTGTCAGAGTCTTCTCAAGAGAACCAGAGAAGAGTCAGGATGTGTGTGAAGGGTTCTGAAAGCAGAGGGAAGAGAGATCAGTTATCTCCAACTCCACAGGACAAAAACTTAATAGATTAAGCAACAGCCACCTGGTCTTCCCCTTGACTTCCCAGGATGGTTTGAGCCCAGATTTATTAAAATAAAGCACAGGGGCACGGTATTGGAGTGTGGGTGGGCAGGGCCTGCTCCCCAAGAAGACTATGGCAGGCCATTTGACAGCAAGGACACAGGCGGGATGGAGGCTCTCCCTGGGCTAGCACATGGCCCTGCTGATTGTTATCTGGGGAAGGGGAGGGCTCCATGTCAGCCAGTGGGGGTGAGCAGGATTCCTGTTTGCTGTCTTGGCGGTCAGGCTTCTCGATGGCGCTGCTTTGCATCCTGTCACTGAGGGAGTCGATGGGTTGGTATTGATCTGGGAAGGGTGCTTTCTGCACACTGGCCAGTGCTGCTGGCTGGGGTGGAGCCCGTTCTACCTGGCAACCAGCCCAGCCCCAGGCCCCAGGCTCCTGTCACTGTTCCCACTCCTGTTCCCACTCGTGTGGGTTCACTAAGCACTCACCAGGTGCTCTTAGATGCGCAGGCTCCTCTCTGCACTCCCTTTTACCCACTGATAAAACAGGGATCAGACACCTTCTGCCCGAGGGGCTCTTGTGAGGAGGAATGGGTGGGAATGAGAGTGCGATGGCCGGCAGGTGTGCAGGGCCTCAGCTGCAGCATCGGATCGCAGCGCAAGGAGACCTCATGCAAGCGTCCCTCTCTTCTGCTTTCTTTATCCAGTCTCCTCTCTCCTCACTTTCTGAAGTCCTATGACTGTGGCCTCCTTAATCCCACCTTGAACCTGCTCCCGGATGAGGAAAGCTCCTCAAGTCATATCCACAGCAGCCCCCAAATGCGAGGCCATGGCAGGTGGAAGGCAGGGAGCAGCCCTGATGCCGCTCTGGATTCCTAATTCACTGCCCCCCTTCGTGCTGTTCGTGGCTGGACTCTCCCACAACTGGCAGAGAAATTGGAAGCTGAAACCAGGTCAGTAGGCCAGCAGCACCTCTCTCCGCCCTGCCTGGCTTCTGCAGGCCCAGCCTCTTCCCTGCACCCTGGTGGTCCACCCACCCCTCAGCCGCGGCCCAGCTCACCTTCATGAGGTCCCGATGGTGTTCCAACACACTGCAGGTCGTCTGCCAGGTGTCCTGATAGCACTCCCATGGGTCCACCCTAATATCGTGGGAGAGAGGTTTCCCTTGGTTTCCATTCTCACCCTCTTTCCTTGTTTCCTTCCAAAGACCACATAGCTTAGGGAGCTTTGCGCACATGTGCTTAGATCTCAAATCAGGTAAAGCCTGGGCATGAAACACTTTTCCAAGCCTCAGTTTCCCCCTCTGTAAAATGAGAGGAGTGTGGCATAGACTAATGAGATGCCAGTCTGCGTGGGTTTAATCCCAGCCTCAGCGTTCCAACTGTGCAGCTTTGGGAAGGTTATGTGATCTCTCAGAGCCTCACTTTCTCCATCTGTGAAACAGGAATAACAGCAGACACTTTCTGTGGTTTTGTTAGAAGGGCTCAGTAGGTTTTATATGTGCACTGCTCCACTACAGTGTCTTGCTCTTATTCTTACTTGCAAAATGGGAATTCTCCTCTGGACTGTATAGGATTATGATGAGGTTTAAATGAGCCAGACGCTCGTCAAGTGGTGGCTGAGGTTATCCTTGACAGGCCGCAAGCACAGAGAATCCACCCCATCTGCCTCCCTGTGCAGAGGGTGCTCCGTGGGCATGGACGTGGGGCAGGGCAGTCAGACTGGAGGCACAGACCCACAGACTGGCCAATCCCTGCTGTATATTAGGTTGTGCAGTGAGCAGGGATCAAGCCCCAGGTGGAGGCAGCATTTGGGCTTAATTGTCAACTCAATGAGCTGCTAAATTGGGATATTTCCCAAACATTTTCTTAGCAGTTGAGCATTCTCTCTCTACCCACTGCCATGTACACACACCTAAGGTTCTCAGAGATGAGACCTCACTCACTGAAAACCCTTAGACGGTCAGCTCACCCTCAACCTGGCTCCTCCCAGAGCCCTAACCACCCATCCCCTGCCCAGGTGCACACAGTTGCCCAGAGATAGGCGAACTCGACCTGGCTAAACTGGGTGCCCCAGCCAGCCCCCATCTCTACAGCTAGCTCTTAAATCCCCAGTGATCTCGATTCTCGGAATTCTGATTTTCCAAGGGCCTAAAACAGCACGGGGCAGGCAATAGGCACTTGGTAAATATTTGTTGAAGGAATGAGGGAATGAAGGAATGATTCCAGAATCTTCTAAGCACATCCAAGCAGTAACAGCATGCTGCCCAGTGTTTTCCCTGCTGGACCCCATTTTCCCAGGAGATCAGGGGTCACAACATTAAGAGGCCTCATTTCTAATGCTGACCTGGCCACCAATGTGCTGCCGCTCAAGCCTTTTGACTTCTCTGGGCCTGTTTCTCACCTGAGAAAAAGCAGCTGCCTCTACCAAACCTATGTCTTGGGGGGACGAGAATCCATAAAGGGTATGTGCTTCTCACACAAATCACTGCACACAACGGCAAGGATCACTGTTCAATTATTACTGTCGCTCCCTTCACTGCTCTCATTTCCGCCCACCCGGCTCTTCTTCCCAGGCTGAGTCTCCACATCCCTCCTGCCGAGGTCAGCTTCTCATCGCTCCCCCCTTCCATGGAGACCTCTAGGCGCTGCTTAGTTTTCCCTGGGGGGAAATTACAGCACAAATGGTGTGCCATTATTTTTTTAAAACATTATCTTCTCATGCAAATTATAACGGTAGGAACTTTGGGGAGCATAATTAGCATAATTAGTGGAAGCTTGCTTTAATTACACAGCAAGCTCAGCAGATGACAGGACAGGGGTGGGGTGGGGGGTGGGGGGTGCTGCCATCTTAGACCATGTCTGACCAGAAAAGCAGTGACCGGAAAGGCACTGCTGGGTGTGACTTGGTATGAATGCCATAAAGGGCAGGGCTGGCAGGCCCAGCACCCCTGTCTAGGAGTCGGTGGGGGGCCCTTAGGGAGCCTAAGTACGGGAACAGGGAAGTGCCAAGGCCAGGGAACATTCCCTGAAAGGCAGAGTCCAGGGAAGTTAGTGGGAATGCGGTGGGAGGCGTTTCAGGTTTTCTGGCCTTGCCTCACCCAAAACCCAATGATGTTTTTGAAAGCTCTAAGAATCAGGCTAGCAGAGAACGACAGATGCTGGTGGGGATGCAGACAATGCGAACTCTTCTAGACTGTTGATGGGACTGGAAATTAGTGCAGCCATTATGGAAAACAGTATGGAGGTGCCTCAAACAATTACAGATAGAACTGCCATACGATCCAGCAATTCTGCTGCTTGGTACATACCCAAAGAAATGGAAATCATCATGTCAAAGGGATACCTGCACTCCCATGTTTATCGCAGCTCTATTCACAACAGCCAAGAGTTGGAACCAACCTAAATGTCCATCAGTCGATGACTGGATAAGGAAAATGTGGCATATATACACAATGGAATACTAACCTGCCATAGAAAAGAATGAAATTCTGCCATTGGCAGCAACATGGATGAACTTGGAGAAAATTATGGTAAGTGAAATAAGCCAGGCACAGAAAGCGAAATACCGTGGGAGCAGAAAATAAATAAATAAACAAGAAAGGAAAGAAAGCTACAACGATCACAGTAATTCCCCAAACATTAGAGAGGAGAGAATGGAACTGAGGCCACCAGAGGTGAGAAAGGGGGAGGGGAAAGGGGATTAGGGAGAAATTAGTAAAGGACCACAAAAAATGTTTACATTGTGTAATGATAAAATTTAAAATTTTTTTTCTTAACTAAAAAAAAATTAAAGAAAAAATAAAAAAGAATCAGTCTAGAACCCAGATGTACCAAAGCAGGTGAAACACTTAAATCTCCCTCTTTAGTTTCATGGGTCCCATAGCTTGGTTCAAAAATAAAGCTATCCACTGTGCCACCCCCGGAGGTCTACCTAATTATTGCCTGCGCAGGGCTTATATGCCTTCCTTCTGCCTCCCTACCCTTTCGGGATCCAAATTACTGCTGGGACTTTCCCGCTTTCCACACCCCACTGCCAGTGAGTCCCAGGGCCACCTGCCTCTGGCCTCATCAGGCCCTCCCTACCTGATCCAGTCGGAATTCTGGACGGCCAGCTGACACATGATGAGGCGGTGCCTGCTCGACACAAGGCCCTGGGAAACAACAGAAGAATCACTGGGAGGCTCCCTCTGTTCCCCACAACATCCCTGGTACCCCACCCCAAGCCAGCCCATCAGAAAAGTGCAGCCACTTTTTAGTGGTGAGGCGGAATGAGAGAGGCGACCCCTTTACTTGTGCATGTGCCACACAGACAGGCATGGAGTGGCAGAGGGAAGAAAAGGACACAGGGTGTGTGGCGTATAGCACCCCAACAGGGTCACCAGATGAGCCTCCATTTACGCAGCAGCCAGTGTGCGCCCTGCACAGAGATGAGACCTAGCTCTGCAAATGCTGCCTTGTCCTATGACTCAGTGTGGCTGAGCCCACCAAGTTGTATCTGTGAGAAAAAGGGGAAATGACTGGTAGACCCACATTTTCTGGGACATGTGGCAGGGAGAGAGGGGCAGGGAAATGAATTTTAAATCAGATTATGAGGCATAGGCCATTTTCTCCTAAAAGCCTGGGAAAGACTTGCCCGATGCAGCTTAGCCTGTAACCAGCAGCCAATTTGGCATCCATGCCAAGCCACAGCCAGCAGGGGTGCCTGCCGCTCTCGTAATGAGTGTGACTGGGCCACACCGTGAGCAGCTGCCAGATCATGGGCAGCAGTTCCTCCCAGCTGCTGCTCCAACATCCACTCGTTCAGGTCTGACTGTGGTCCTGAGACGGGAAGCAGGATGGACGCCTGCTCTCGGGCATTCAGCATTTCCAGGAATCTTAGCAGAGAGGGCAGCGGGGCAGTTTTATGCCAGAGGAGCTGTCAGGCCAGGGTGGGGGGATGAAGGAGGAAAGGGGCAGGGGAAGGAACCCACCTGTTTTCCATAGGAGTCATGGACAGGGGAGACAATCCCGCCAATCACGATGAACCTTCCAGTCTTGTGCAGATAATCCCTGGCTCTTTCTAATTAAGAGAAGACAATCACACATTACAAAGAGGAAAGGTGTGGATTAAAGGAGATAATTGAAATCAATACATTCAGCTCTGTAACGCTAAAGTCTATCTCCCTTCTTTTTTGCTATTTAAATAGAAAGTGTCAACTTTCAAAGCAAACACTGGTGATTCAAAAGGTTATGGAACCAGATTTCAGCCCCCGGAAGCAAAAGATTTAGAACTCAAGGGGATTAATCCTGCTTTAAAGGTCCTCTGTGGGAGGAGCCCGGTTGTAGCTCGGAGGGGTTTAAAACAAGCACCTCAATAAAGGCCATTACAGTTACAGATTGGAATTTATGCCCATTGTCACTTGCAGAAATTCCAAGGTGGAGGAGTAGTTAAAAAAAAAAAAAAACCTCCTTATAATATGAAAGATGTGCTGATTGCCTCATCTAATTGCTCTGAAGAGAAAAACCACCAAAACAAAATTAAAGGGCCTTGTGCATAATTGTGGAAAATTAGCAATCAGCCCAAAAGATGGCCATCATTACAGTTGGTTGGGGGAAAAAAAAAAAAAAAGTTTGGCCAAAGAAAAGCCTTTTTTCTTTTGAAAGGAATGCGATGTTGCTTTTCCAAACAATAAGACAAGCCCAATTTCATTTTTGTGATAAAGTTCAGCAAACTCAGAAGGGGCTAAAAAGTCTGGTTCTATCTTACGTCCAAGGGGACTCACTGGACAAATCCCAGCAGGGCCTGAGCTTGTACCACTGAGGAAATCTGGCCCGGATTTTATAGTAGGGAATTGGTTAATGAACGAGGGCTTGGGCAGCAGGGCTGGCTGTGTAGTTCACTAGCAAGTTTCCTGCATTCCCTTGCTGGCCCTCTTAAACACTTAAAAATAATTCTCACCACATTTGCTTCCTGTTTTTCTTTCAATATGAAATCTCTTAGACTGAAAGAATTTAAAAGGCTACTTTTATATTTTCAGCAAATCTCATATTTTTAGATGTACAGAATGATTGAGCAGATTGTGCACATTTTTACATACTCAGCTCCCCAGCCTTTCCCCCCAAGTCTCCCCCATTATATTAATAATCTTGGGGCCGACCCTGTGGTTCACTGCTACAGTGCGCTGCTTGGGAGCGCGGTGGCGCTCCCGCCAAGGGTTCGGATCCCACATACAGACCGGTTCCCGCTCACTGGCTGAGCGAGGGGCGGGTGCAACACCAAGGGTTGCGATCCGTTGCCGGACACGAAAAAAGACAAAAAGGAAAAAAAAATAAAAATAAAAATAAAAAAATAATAATAATCTTGCACTAGTGTGGCACATTTGTTACACTTGATGCATCAATACGAACACATTATTATTAACTATAGTTCATAGTTTCCTTTAAGATTCACTTTTTGTGCCATAGACTTCTATGGGTTTTGACAAACGTATAATGACATGTATCCTCCATTATAGTATCATACAGAGTAGTTTCACTTTCCTAAAAATCTACAGTGTTCCATCCATTCATCCCCCTCACCCAACCCTCGATCTTCTTACTATTTCTATAGATTTGCCTTTTTCCAAAATGCTATATAGTTGGAATTATATAGTACGTAGCCTCTTCAGACTGGCTTCTTTCACTAAACTGAATGCATTTAAAGTTCTTCCATGTCTTTTCATGGCTTGATAGGTCATTTCATTTTATCACTGAATAACATTCCATTGTCTGGATGTTCCACAGTTTATTTATCCCCTCATCCACCAAAGGACATCCTGATTGCTTCCAGTTTCTAGTGATTATGAATAAAGCTGATACAACATTCATGTGCAGGTTTTTGCATGAACTTATGTTTTCAACCCACTAGGATAAATACCTAGGAGCATGATTGCTGGATCACATGGTAATAAAAGTATGTTTAGCTTTGACAGGAACTGCAAACTGTCTTCCAAAGTGGCTGTACCATTTTGCATTCCCATCATTAATGAGAGATCCTGTGGCTCAAAATCCTCATCAGCATTTGATATTGTTTGGTTTTTAGATTTTAGCCATTCTTTTTTTTTTTTGTCTTTTTTACTGACCGGCAACGGGATTGCAACCCTCGGTGTTGCGCCCGCACCGCACTCAGCCAGTGAGCGGGAACCGGTCTCCACATGGGATCTGAACCCTCGGCGGGAGCGCCGCCACACTCCCAAGCGGCGCACTCTCCAGTGCGCCACCAGGCTGGCCCCAAGATTTTAGCCATTCTAATGGATGTGTCACATTTGCTTTTTAAAGGTTAATATTACTTCACTTGTTCTCAAGTCTTATTCTGAGGCCAAGTTAAATGCATTGTAATAAAACTCTTCTATTTAAATGAATTTTACAGCCCCTCCTCTTCCTCTTGGCCCTTCATATCCCAGTCTTCCTCAGGATCATTTCCATCTGGCCCTTGGCTGTCACAGACCCTCTGCTACACTAAGCCAGGCCTCCCTTGCTCTCCCTGTCCCCCAGAAAGTGTCCTCCCCTTACTCTCCACTTACCCAAGCACTTCCTCGGAAGCCCAGCTCCACCCCACTTCCAGCACGCCCGCTCTGTCCAGTATCCTCCTCCTCTGGACCTACTGTCTTACTCCCTCACTAAGCATCCAGTCCAAGGGACCTGGAAATTATTTCCAAAAGTTTATGCCCCAGCTCCTCTTCTGTACTATGAGCTCCTCAAAGACAGGGACTTTGCTGCAGATAAGAGGTCCCACACATAGCCAAAGGAAATGTGCAGTTAACATACGTGTAAGAAGGAAAGTGGGTATAAGATGGTTTGTGTTCAGCTGCTTGTAGGTCAAACAACCTTGACACTGCCTTTTGAACTACTGTGTGGGTTTGAGAAAACATATCTGTGGTCCAAATGTGGTCCAGCTTGTCACCTATGCCCAAGACTTCTTTCGTTCTTAAGCACCCAAGATAGTGACTTGTTTACGAGCAATAGATGCTCAATCAATGTTCACACTTAGAAAGCTAATGTAACTGCCTCCTTACTCTTGCCCCTGCAGGGTGTCCTTCCACTGAGCCATCTCGGTCCAGACAGTCACCCACGTCATTCCTCAGACCACACTCCAGAAAGCACAGGGGAAAATCATTGCATCAAAGAACCTCATTGTCTTAGAAGCTGTCGCCCTTCTCTTCTGGCCAGGATGAGGAGCCCTTTCCCCTGGCAATGCCCCACATTTCACTGCCTTGCAAAGAGGCAGTTTCTGAAAGGAATATCCCCAACCCTAAACCCTGAAAAAGGGCACTTGATCTGAAATAGTTAAACCCAGAGGAGTTATGATTGTGATCAATTTGATTCAATTTAGGAAATGTTTATTGAGCACAAAACATCATGATGGATGCTAGAGGGATATGAGCATAAAGATGTCTTTATATTATTCTCCAAAGTTTCACAATAATGAAAAAACAGAGGCTATACTGGTGACTCTAACAGAGACAGATTGGGATAAGTGCTGTAGCTGTCACTGGCAGTGTTGTTTCACTACAACACACAGTAAGAAACACGTTTCAGGGCCGGCCTGGTGGCGCACTGCTACAGTGCGCCGCTTGGGAGTGCGGCGTCGCTCCCGCCGAGGGTTCGGATCCCACATACAGACCGGTTCCTGCTCACTGGCTGAGCGAGGTGCGGGTGCAGCACCGAGGGTTGCGATCCCGTTGCCGGTCCCGGTCCAGTACGGGCACGACACTGAGGGTTGCAATCCGTTGCCGGACACGGAAAAAGACAAAAAAAAAAATAAAGAAACACGTTTCATGATACCAAACTTACATATGTATATATATGTATATTTAAAGGAAACAAATATATTACCTTACTACAGCACACTGATATTTCCTATTGCATTCTATTCTTATAATCATAAATTTAAACAAAAACCTGTTCACGAACTATAGTTTGAACAACTTTGTACCATAGTTGAGATATTAAGGAGAAGGGGAAAAAGGGATAAGAGAGATTAATTTTGCCTGGGGGCTTGGGGGAGTTGGCAGTGGATTCTTGGAGGAGATATATGTTTAGTTTGGTCTTGAAGAAAGACAGAAGTTCAATAGACATGGACTTCCCAGCCTCCAGAACTGTGAGCAATAAATTTATGTCATTTATAAATTACACAGTCTTTAAGGTATTTTGTTATAGCAGCCCAAACGGACTAAGAAAGTAATCTTCAGAGAAAAGTGTAAGAAGGGTACATGGGATCTCTCTATACCCTTGCAACTTCCTATGAACCTATAATTATTTCAAAATAATTTTTTTTAGAAGTTCATGGTAAACTACAAAACATTACGATTTTAAGGTGGTGGTGTGCAAATCCAGAGAAACTGCAGTTGGTGGAGGTGGACACTTCTGGAACTTCATCTCTGCCCATCGCTTTCCATTTTTGCTGCTATTTGAATTCCAAGATGTTGGGTTGTTACAACAAGGGGGCTTCCTACAATTGTGCTTCTCAAGCTTTGATGCGCATGTGGGGTAAGTGGGGTGGGATCATTCAAGTGCAGGGTCAGATCCTCCCTTTATTTAAAATGTTGATATTTTGCTCATCATGGATTCTTTGCATTGATGTTGATATTTCAAAATATTGCTTCTCTTGATTACTAAGTTTCTGGGTGCCCCCTTAAATTTTGCTCTAGAGGGGGCCATCCCTCCTGCCTCAACCTAGTTCCAGCCCTGCCTGAGATTCAGCATTTCTAACAAACTCCCAACTGGAAACAAAGCTGCTGATCTACAGACTGCATTTTAAATAGCAGTCACCTAAGGAACTAAAGACAGGTGGCAAAGCTCTGCAATGTTAAGGTACCCACAGAAGAAGCTCTTCTTTCTTCCCTGCTCCACCATCACCTCTACCTTGCATGACAAGGGCATTTCTGGACATTGGCAGGAAGCCAGGCCATTGGCAAAGCTGTAGCTAGGAGCACTGAAACTTAATTTCATGCCAGGCTTCCCAAAATGTGGTCTGTTTTGTCCATCAGTTCTGCCCCAGGGAAGGAGCCAAATTTCTCTAACATTTTACGCTCAGGTCTG